TTCCTGCTGGCAAGATTCCATGTCTCTGCTGCAAGCTCCAGAATACTTCAGCATTTTACTGGAAGCCAGAAAGAAGCTTCTGGGAAATGTCTTGCTATGCGTATGCTGCAAAGCAGAGGTCACAGCAAAATAGGCTGGGTTCAGTTCTGCTCTAAATCGAAGTAAAAGACAGTTTCCTCTGTATTTAAACAGGGGGAGGATATGGGCTATTGTTCTTTTCAAAGTGAATTTTTGTAGTTTTCACATTTGCATGCCTACCTTCACAAATAAACTTGGGAGTTATGCTCAGTCAACTCTAACCATGTTGTGGCAGGTGTAACTTCAAACTTCATGCTAGGATATACAATTTCTATGACTTCTAGATCCACAACCTCTGGGCAGTTTTGCATAGCACTGAGATCATACTATACCCATAGCAGCATAGGCAAGGGGACTCTGAGGATTTAACAGCTGTGTCCTTCATATCTTAAAGAGCAGCCCAGTACAGACAGCACGCTCTGAAATGCTAACTTTCAACTGGCTGCTGTGGTTTTTTGGCTGAAAACTGAACTATTAATAAGGAAAAATAAAGCAAAAATTTAATGGCATGAAACTACTGCGTGGTTTTTTGCTAGCCTGCTTTAAATAGCCTCCTTTCTGCTTCCAGGAATGAAGGTGAGATGACTGTGCTAGAGATTGCCAAGGCACTAAATGCAACCAAATCTTCCTACAGGCAGCAGCACTCTCTGCCTGCCTTCCCTGTAAAACCTGATACGGCTGTGGAGACCATTTCTTATATTAATTTACAGGATTTGAAGTTCAAAACTTGAAGGTTTTAAAATTGAAATTCCCTCAGTCTCTGATGCTGTCAAGTGGCTGTCCTGTAACGCCAGCTGGGCAGCCACTTCCTTGGGACAGGACAGAGGTAGGCAGGTAGGCACTGCGCACAGGACGACAAGCTGTGAAAAAAGCTGTTCTGGGATGGAAGGCGCTCGAGAGACACCAGAGAACCAAGTTCAAGAACCAGATCTGGCTTACCACTTCTCCTCCATACTCTCTTTGTAAAGAGAGGAGAAGTAATTTTCTGCCGTCCTTTGTGTTTCTTGCAGAGGTGAACATCTGTAACCTCTGGTTTGTAAAGCCTGTCTGTCTATAGCCTGTACACACTCCGAGGAATTCCTCTTTTGTAAAAGCCCAGCACAGTGCAGCCTTGAGGAGTTGCTGAAATAGCTATTAAAAAGAAGGGATGAAAAATGCAGTGTCATTTTTGTTTATCTGCAGACTCAGTTCTTAAATCTTAAATCTCTAAGGATCCTATCAGCTAAGGTGACCCAACAGTGAGCGAGACTGAAATTAAACCTCACAGCTGTCAGGGATGGATAAAGAAGTTACTGCAATCACTAGCCACAGGTATCAGACAGGGATCTTCAGGAATTCCAAGATATCCTGGAAGGAGGCACTCCCATGAAGAGATACTAGCAAGCTGCATGCCTACACATGTATAAAAAGCCTAAGGCAAAATCCTAGACTGTAGCTTGCTCATACTATTGCCATTCAAATCATATCTGAAGAATCATTTTAAAACTCTCTCTTCCTATAAATTTATCTGTATTACTCCTACAGTGTGCCAGTTTGTCTTAAAACTATTTTTGCTGTCTACATATAACCAGAGTAGCTATTTTTAAAAAAGGCAGGAAAAAAAACCCTTAAACTTGTAGTTACTTGCCGTAATTTTAAAATGTTTTCTTACATTTTCCATAGAAGTATTGT